CCCCAAAACCCCAAAACCCCAAAACCCCAAAACCCCTATATGAAGTAACTAATTGGAATAATAGTATATTAATTTGTAATGGCAAGAAGCAACATGAAGACTTACACAATTTTATGTATGTTTTTAGCTGGGTTTTGGAGGCCCAAGCGGGTTGGGGAGGGGCTACAGTTGACATTTTTGCTGGGCTTGGAAGTGGGAGGGGGAAGAAGGGAACTAATGGAATTTATAGTGTCTCTGATCTTGGGATTTGTGCTGGCTGGAGGAGATAAGACTGAGGTCAAGGCTGTGGAGGGAATTGTGAAAGATAATTCACAGAATAAGTGTGATGATGTTTGCTTTACAGAATGTGAGAATTCCGGTTCTGAAAGGTAAATTGTTTTGTTTTTAAATATCTGCATCAAGGTGGGGTAAAGCTTTAATGTATTCTTTTGCTGACACTCGTTTAGTTGTTTCTCACATTGTAATTGCCCTGAGCCTCCAAGCCCAACCAATGAAGATCTATTTTCACAAAACCAGTGTTATGCTGCTTGCAGCATGGAATGTGCTTCAATTGGAACACTAGACGAGAGATTAACTTGCGTCCAGAACTGCCCTTGCCAGTGTAATACTATTTGCCAAAACCATTGTAGAAGTACTGGATTGAACACTACCTGTAACGGCATCTGCGGATGTCCTAAGCCAGAGCAAACTCAGGAAAATGCTTCAACTGAGTCTGAGCAAACAATAGCTGATGATCAAGAACAGAAAGAAGAGCAATCTCAAACAGAAGAGACTACTAAAGAGAAAGCTGTTGATCATAGTAGTTCACAAGAAAAGAGCCGCAATGAAGATCATGAAGAGAATCATCATGAAGGCCATGATGATGAACATGATGATGAGCATGATGATGAGCACGATGATGAGCACGATGATGAGCACGATGATGAGCACGATGATGATTATAAAGAAAAACACTCAGAAGAGAAAGAGGATCATGCCCACGAAGAGCACAATATCTTAGCTGGTGCAGCTAAAGAAATCCAAAATGCTGCTTCTAATTCTGCCACAATGAAATCAGTTGAAGAAATTGAGAATAAGATTATCACCGATCTTATAGATACCTTTAAGAATGAAAAAGTCACAGACTTAAAAGAAATTGCTGAAGTGGAGCATATCTCATCTGAGATTGACTCTAAGGATACCTCTTTCAGTTTACTTGTTCAAGAGATGTTAGACGATTCTGAGAAATGTCAAGGAAAATGTTGGAGACAATGCTTAACACTTGGAATAGATACAAAAATCTTGAAATGTGCTCAAGACTGTGGATGAGCTGAAGACAGTTATCAACTTTTGGAAGTGAAAAACCACATCGCTAAGATGCCTCCAAGAGATCATTCTGGGTCCTACAAGGCTCTGTTCTTATTCATGCTTTTAGCAGGATTTGCTTGAGCTCTACTCTGGTATGTTGACTCAAAATACAACAATTCAGAGATAAAAAGAAAGACAAAAAGTGAAGACCAAGAACTAGGTGAGGCTGGTTATGAAAGACTTGACTAACCAATATGTATTCAATACTCCATCCAGAAAAAGGGGTTTTGGGGTTTTGGGGTTTTGGGGTTTTGGGGTTTTGGGGTTT